TCATAATAAGACTAATGTATTATTATTAGAAGAGCAATGGTCTTTGTAGTCCCAAAAAACGGTACAGTACAAAGCATCTACCAGTAAGACATAGTAATTCTTCAATGGTATGCAGTCCAATCTAAAAATCCTTCTAGGTTTAAAAATCTGACACTTTACTGCTGCTCTTAGATTGGGGATAGTTTGGGAAATAGCTGAGGGAGCAGAAACCCGAACCAATCCAGCCTCTCTCTGAGTAACTTTAATTATGAGGTGACAAGGGCACTGGGGTCTTTGATGTTCACTTGACAACAGGGGGCCTTTCTTTGCGATGCTAGGGCCCAGGAATCCACTGAGAGGGAGAGACACATAATGTGGGACAAGCAGTGAACACACAGAAATATCTCACTCTCATGTCTCATGGTGCAGAGGAGACGGTGCAGAACTGCTCAGAGAAATTGTAATGACTGAAAGTTGTAGGAAAAAAGGTACTAATATGTGCTTGGAATTGTGCTGATTGAGGCTGTCTCACAAAATGAAAAAAACTGCAGAATTAATTTGGAAAAAAGCCTGGAAATATTACTTTATAATTTTATTCTAAAGATTATGTTATTGTTGTTGTTTTTGATGCTTTTTCAGTCAAGAACAAACCAGCTCGACACCATTAAGATCTAAATAAACCAGAATTGCTGGTCTAAAGTATTAGTGCCAAACCCAGATCATCTAGACTGGAATAAAAGTGTTTCTCAAACTGTGGCATGCACGCTCCTTCAAGTGGTACTTAGACGGCTCTTCAGTTTGTGGGTTTGCCTCATTTAGAGTTCATTTTAAACACTTTTTAGTCCTCCTTTGATGCATAATAATAATAAAAATCTTGTTTAAGACTAGTGAACTTTCAGACCTTAACCCAAGATTAGACCTGGGATAGTTTTGTTACATAAAGTGTTGAAAAGTAACTGCATACATGTGCTGAGAATATGTATTCACGATGGTAATTTTGAGTAACTATTCAGGTACCGTTACTCTTTTGGTGGTGTCAGAATACAGTTACTTTACTAAATCAAAGAAATACATCACAGTACTTGATCACACAATTTAGGCTTCAAACTGCACAACATTAATGATTAGAAAATACAAATCACTACTCTTGTTGTGAATGCATGTATTTTTATTAGTTTTTAGGTTAGGTTTGGTTAGGTCGCTTTATTCGTACCCGTAGGTAAATTTGTTTTGCAGATTTTAGAGGCAGGTCCCACATTTCACATTTCATTCCTCCACATCATGTACAATAACACGTATAAAACACAGTTACAAAATAAAATGTCACAGAGCTCCAATGCAGAATGGCTTTGTAATTAGTTAAATTCATCCATCACGCTTCACTAAAATCACAATAAATATTAAATATATATATAAATCTTATAATCTTAATCTTATGTTGCATTTTTACATTAGAGTTAAATGTAACTTGAAGTAAAAGTATTCAGAATACAGTATTGTGATTGGACCATGTGTCAGAATCCATTACAAACTCTTCCCGTCACTGGTTTTAGACTTAATTTAAATCTGGTCGTACTCGGAAATCTATATCTTTTCTTTGGTGGTTCTTTGTGTGAAAAGTTCGAGAGCCCTGAGCTTGTGTATCAACAGTAGTCCCCGCCCCACAGTTTGACAACCCCTGGCCTAACATGTGCTCAAACACAATGCTATTTACACAGCATAGGTCCGGCCTGACAATGCCGCTGTAAAACATTACACTAAATCAAAGTACAAGTTACACACAAACCCGCTGGCGGTCTTATCTTTATGAGCACTCCTACCTCTGGAACACTAACTCTCTTTATATAGTGTGTTGCCATGCAGGAGCTGCCATATCTCAGTGCTATTTTCAACATGTTATAATGGCGATCAATACGACTCGAGACATGACGTCCGCGAGGCTCAAATAGCTGTGGTGATTTAAAGTGAAGTTTACATTCCTGAGAAAAGGCAAAGGTTATAATGGGAGTGGAGGGTTGGGTTGGGGAGTGTACCGCGCTGTGTGGTCATCGAAGAAAACAGAAACCGGTGACACACAAAGTGACATTTACTAGAAAGATTTGTGTTGGTACTACACCCTAATGGTCATTTAACTTACAGCATTATGAGTGTCTGCTATTATCCGGGCGTTGTGTGTGTATGTAAATTTAGGGTGTGTTTTAAATGACATAATCTGGCAGTAAAAAAGCAACGACTCGACTGAGCAGTCTTAAACAAAGGCATATTGTTAAAATATAAAACATGAAACTTCCATGATCCATAGAGGCTGTTTATGGTGTACAGTGTATTCTTTCTGTTGATGCTTGCCACGTGCTTGTATCCATGTTGCAAACCCAAAATGTTCAGCAGTACAGCATTAAACTTAACTGTCTCCATGTCGACAAACAGACGCCGCCGGGTCAAGTTACAGGAGCTGTGGAGAAGCAAGACCACTCACAGTAATGTATAGAACCTCTTGTAATTGAATAAATAAAAAAATAAGTTTAATGCAATACTGTGGAACATTAGCCAGGCTGCCTCCGCTCAATTTCATTTCTCGCCAGCAGCTAGGTCAGGAATCAAAATACACTAGACGGTTCGCAAAAACCCCGGAAGTGCAAGTTCAGGCACCAGCCAATCAGCGAAGAGACATATATTCAGTGTTGTCAACGATTCCCGAGATCGAGGATTGAAACAAACAGAACAAAGAGAATGTTTGGTGAATTTGATCAAGGGGAAAGACGTTATTGCCCTTCTTCCTACGGGATTTGGGAAAAGCTTAATATTACATACATTACATACATCATGACCAAATAGCAGCGATTGGTTAAATTAAAAAAGTACCTGCCTACTGTCGAGCGAATGAAAGCTAAGGCGGTTTGTGTGAAGTGAAATGAAGAAAAACCGGCTGATGAATCAGGCTAGTGGAACATTATAGACAAAACATTAATGTTGCATTAAGGTGGTGGATACACACAGGAAATGTCAATTCACTTTTAAAGATACAGACAGTACTACATTGTTGATTGATTGTTGGAGTTTGTCTCTGGCCTTGTCTTGAGATGATACTTACATTTCTTACTTTTTAATCTGTAGTGCAAAACTGACTATGCCAAAAAACAATACTCCAATAAAATAATAAATAGAGGGTTCCCACAGTCATGGAAATCCTGGAAAAGACATGGAATTTTGTAAATTCAAGGAAAGTTTTGGAAAAGTCATGGAATTTTATTATCTCTTTCACACAACTGCAGCGTTCTGTTAAGTTATCATTAGACTGTTATGATTATTTACGAACGTCTGCGCCTTTTGTTTAAAAGAAACGACAATAAATACACTGACAGTATTTTGAATGTTAAAAAACTATAACACCAAACCATAAGTTGAGTGGAAAGAGTTAACGTTTCATAGTTAGCACTAAAATATGCTCAATTCTACACATGTAGGTGCTGTAAAGTCATTAGATAAGATCATCTTTTATTGTTTCCCATGGGACAGGAGGTAACATGCTTTATCAAAAAACAATACAACACAACACAAAGTCCCACATAAACAAACACCATAGAACAGAATAAATATGAGACCAAGTACGACCACAAATGATGTTTCGCCAACAGGACCTTTAAATATCATGGAAAATTCACTTTGGTCATGAAAAAGTCATGGAAATGAAAAAGAGTGGGAACCCTGTAAATAATAAACTTTAAAAACTTAACGGTGCACTGTGTAACTTTTTGGTTGGGGGTCTATTACTTGATTGTTTCTATGGATTTGTCATTGCTCTACCTGGAATGTTCCACAGTATGACATTAAACAGCTTTATCTTATGACATTAAACAGCTCTATCTTAGATTTATTCAATTACAGGTAGTTTTATAGTTCAAAAATGCCTAGAAAAACAGGCGTTCTGATGGTTTGACGGTTCACTTGCTGTACGTTGAAAAGTGTTTTGCATAAGTATTTAGTTTGTTTCACATCCTCAACATGAAACCAGTTAAACATACATCAGACGTGTCTCTTCTGCCCTGTTAGTCAAAACGAGCCTTGTGCATTAGTGGTCTCATGCAGAGTGTTACCAGCCTGTTCAGTGAACCCTGAGCCTCCGTGAGCTCTGAGCACCGTCATGTGACAACAAGAGTCAGCGCCATGGCAACCAGCACTGGACACGCACAGATGTAATGTTATGTTAAAATTATTACATTCAATCTAAACAATAAAAGTGATTTGGGAGAAATTGGTAAAAAAGAAAAATGTAAAATGTTTTGCCTGGGTTTCTATAAATTTAAAATGTTTTGGGCCTCAAGCTTTATTAGACAGGGTAGTGTAAAATGGAGGTAAAGAGCAGGGAGAGACATTCAGCAAACTTCATTTCTCTCTAGCGACTAGGTCAGGAATCAGAATACACTAGACGTTTGCAAGAACCCTGGAAGTGTGAGTTCGGGCACCAGCCAATCAGCGAAGAGACAACGATTCACGAGATCGAGGATTTAAAACTGGAACAAAGAAAATGTTTGGTGAATTTTATCAAGGGGAAAGACGTTATTGTCCTTCTTCCTACGGGATTTGGGACAAACTTAAAATACCTGTTAGCCCGGTTAGTGGCGCATTACATACGTCACGACCAAAGAGCAGCGATTAGTTAAATAAAAAAAGTACCCACCTACCTTTGAGTGAATGAATCCTAATGCTGCGAGGTCACACGGTTTCCATGAAGTGAAATGAATCAGGCTAAATAAAGGAAGAATTTTCAGGTTTGGCAAGATATAGGTTTGTTTATATTTCGCTGCGTGTGAGCACTCTGTGTGAGTCTTGGCAGTGTAGTGCAAAGATAAATAAGAGTTACATAACTGTACAAATGCACTGGACAGCAGAATACAATTCTGTAATTTTATTTTAATTTGCAATAAACACTATACAAATAAATAAAGACAGTTTCATTTTGTATAAGAAAAGTGTCTTTACACATTTCAAATGTATATATATTTTTGTTTTAATGTCAGAAGGAGTTTAAAAGGTCAAGTGGGGATGCAGCAAATGTTTAGATGAACAAAATAATGCACTTTTTTTTTCTAGAACATCTCAGACTCAGTCATCTCAAACTAGAATATCATGAAAAAAGTTGTTTTGCTCTCAAGCTTCTCTCTGCGTCATGAGTCTGTATAATATATAGGTTTGACTTTCTGAAGTGAATGACAAAAAAAATATAGAACTTTTCATGATATTCAAATTTTTTTAAGACTTTTCTTTAAATCGTGTTTTTAATTTTACATACTTAACGGTCAACGATGTCAAGTGACTGAGTTACAGTGAAAAGAGCGATATAAAACCTATGTGTTATTATTTCTTACTCAAACTTTATCGATACACAAGGTAAATTACTTTTTTATTTATTCATCTGAACTTTTTTTACACACTTTTTTCAGAGGGGCTGTTAAAATTCCTAATGTTAAATACACAAGACTTTCTTTCATTATAATTACACAAAACTACCTTCACATTAGAGTTGTCACGATACTAAAATTTCAAACTCCATTTCGATACTCGATACCAGAATAAAAATAAAACATGCTCCTTTTTTAGTAATAGAACGCCATTTTCATACACAAAGCATTAGTACTTTCGTTATGTTACCATGAGATCTTATACTAGTTCTGATAAAGCTCAAAATGACTCTAAAACTGTTCAGGAAAGCTCAAATTTAGTCTTGTTAATATGAGTTTTACAGCATCATCTGTTGCTCAAATGAGTTTTTAGTTTTGATATTAGTTTCTGTATCGATTAGTATCAGATTTTTTATACCTTTGACAACCCTGCTTCATACTCATCACTCCAAATTGATAAAAACATCTATCTTTACACAGTTAGTTTGCTGTTATGTGTATCCAACCAGACGGGGCATGCTGGGGAAGCTCTTTCTGATGCTCATGCACTTCTCTTGGTCCAGGAACAGGGAGTTGGCTTTGACGGACAGGTCGTGCTCCAGCGTCACTTTGGTCTTCACCAGGTTCTGCAGTGTGTTCTCCGCCTCGATCAGACGCTCCTGCAGTTTATATATGGTGTCCTCGATCTCCCTAACTTCACCTACAAGTCTGAAAAAGTAAGAGAAAAAAAATATAGAAATGTTTTGCTCTACAATATAATCAAATATAAAATGTTGAGATCCTTCTAAGTAAAAGATAATCATCAGAATGTCTCTGGTTGTGTACCTGTGGTGTGGGTTGTCCCGGCACAGCTCCACGTTGGGGCGTCTGGTCCTCTCCTCCAGCCGAGTTTGGGCCACTTTGAGCGGACACTCTTTGTCTCTGAGGGCCTTCTTCAGAGACTCAATCAGCATCTCAGTCTGGAAGATCTCCTGGAGGGTCTGTGTGGGGAACAGAATCATACGGGATTGTGAATGGTGCTTACATTTTTATCTCAAATCTCTGAAGGTTAAACATGTTTTGACAATATATGTTTTTGTGGCCCATGTTCATGCTCATTCTCAGACCCAAAGGTGTATCTCAGTGGGTTTTAAACTATTTTAATTCAGATTGTTTGACAACTAAATATGTTTCAAGAAAAAACATTAAATTGTAGAAAAAATACGTGTTTTTGAAGATCTGGAACTAAAACAAGTGTCAGTATAGAAGAAGCAGGTGAGCACCTATAAACATCCAATGCCATAGAAAACCATTTTACAACCACACTATACATATTGTCTACAATTGATACTTTGCGGTGTTTAAATATTTATATATATTTTCTGGCATTTTTAGACCATCTTAAAACTTTTTGACAGTGTTTGCTAATGTGTGCATTGTGTTACCATGGTAACAGCTGAGCTTTCCATCACAGACATGCATGTAGAATGCCCCAACGTGATGACAACACATTTTCAGGAGCCTGTGATCAATTCGAGCATTCATGGTTCTCTTTAGGAGTTTGTCGTTCATCGAAAAGGTGAGAGTGACTCACTGAAAAATGTGCTGGCTCGTGACTGTAAATTCATGTGTGAGAAACTTGTTTAAAGTCACAAATATCTCACCTGTTGTAGTTCCAACTAAAGGCCTATTCATACTTGAACAAATACAAATACTTGAACAAATGCATAAGAACATAAAAACTTTGTTCTTGCTCTTCAGGTGATAAGAACAAGAACAACGTTCGTTTGAGCTCTGACATTTCATACTTCAAAAGATGTTCTGCTGCTGAACTACACTGCCCCCCTCGCTCTATTTCTTTTCATCCTCCAGCCTGACCGCTCTTTTTTTTTGGTGACCCGCCTTTTGGCTTTCGTAAACTTGTCACAGAGATTACGCCAGACTTTTTTACACTGATTTTTGTCTGAGCCTAAAATGGCCATGATCATCTCTCCATGAATTTCTTGCTCTGTGGCATCTTTATAGTCACTGAGCGTCCTGTTGTACGGATTTTTTTATTTTTTGCCACAAATATATAATAATAATCGGAAAGCAACAAGTTCTGCTCAACTGAGGTGTCGAGAACAAGCTGCAAGAACTGCCCAACAGGAGCTGAACAAAATTACATCATTTTGTTCAGCAAGCCCTGGGTGCAAGGACAAAGTTCTAATGTTCTTATGAAGTATGAATAGGCCTTAAGTCATCTCTTTCTGGTCAGATTGTGTTAAAATAGCTTTACACCCTCAATACTGATGACATCGGTCGCAAAGTGTCAATAGTGGAGTTGTTCATGAAGCTTCACTGTAGTTAATTCACGCTTCCTCCCATTTACAGTTGGCTCTGACAGCAACATCTGATCTCACGTTTTAGCAAAAGTAAATTCAAGTCGACACTCAAAGCTGCAGGCTCGTGGTAATTATACACAGTAGTCCTAATAAATCAATGTGGTATGCCTTTTAACAGTGTCCCTCTGTGTCCAAACACTTCTGATGTAATTGAATTAGGAAAAAAACTCTTCTTCTGAAACTGGGTTAAGTGAGAACCGTGTGTCTCAGATCACAACTGCTGTCAAAAACAATATAAATATAAATTGTTAGCATATTTTTGCAATTCCAGCCAATCTACTCCAACCATTTTTGTTCTATTTATGGCTCTGCTAGGACATTTAGTAGTAAGCATGTACAGTATTTTGCTTGTTAGCATGCTATTGATGACAAACTGAAGTCCCCAAACAGCAATGCAAGGACCAATTAAGATTGATCTGTCCTCAGGTTACATGGACACGCATTGGATTTACATCGGTTTTGTTTGTAGCTCACAGAGGAGAAGAGAATGGCACCAGCACATGATCTGCTAATAAGTAGAAAATCGAGTTACCCACTGATGCAAGAGGAGAGGGATTTTGCCTTCTCACTAAACAGCATGTGATCTCCCTATGGTGGAAGATTCAGCCGAAATGCAGAGTGAGGTCTGGGTCTAAGTGGGGAGCAATTATAATGATGTTGTTATGAAAGTATTTGGGTTGAAAGTAGAAGCAGGACCTCCATCAAGGCAATACAGAGCACATATCTGGACTTCAAACTGTCTAAGGAGCAAATTAGGGAAGCACCGATCCAGGTTTTTCAGTTCCAGTACCGATATTGATATTGTATCTCTAACCAAAAGAAACCAAAAATTTTTCTTGTTTTGGACCACAGCAACAAAACAAGAAAAATATCTGTGTTACCAAATGTAACAATCTGATGAAGGCTTTTTTTGTCGAAACGTTATTTTGTTAATAAAAAAGCTCTTGGACATCGGTCAACTGAGTGTGCTATGTATTTTTTCACCCTTGTCTGGCTGTTCCTTGCAGTCGCACCTTTACAAGAATTTTGGTGTGCGTTTTTGGTTTCTTTTGGTTAGAGATACAATATCAATATCGGTACTGGAACTGAAAAACCTGGATCGGTGCTTCCCTAATTTGCTCCTTAGACAGTTTGAAGTCCAGATATGTGCTCTGTATTGCCTTGATGGAGGTCCTGCTTCTACTTTCAACCCAAATACTTTCATAACAACATCATTATAATAGCTCCCCACTTAGACATAGGTCAACCGAGTGTGCTATGCATTTTTTCGCCATTGTATCTCTAAACGACACCAGTTGTGAGATTGAAAATAGCCTTTTTTTTTTCTCAAAACAGAGTTAACTTATTACAAAACTGATCTGAATGTGTTATGTAACTGTTATGTATCCTGCAAGTAACTACTGAACTGATTTGTATGAATTAAAAGTTCAAACACGAGATGTCCTACGCCTACATCAGTCAGTGAAGATTTCAACCAAATATCGACTGAACCGATATCATGGAACTGATCTAATACTGTAAAGTTTCCTGATTCAACACAGATATTCGATACCAGCATCAGTATCGGTAGCCAAGCTGGCGCCACCTAGTGCCTCCGCTCAATTTCATTTCTCTCCAGCGACTAGGTCAGGAATCAGAATACACTAGACGGTTTGCAAGAACCCAGGAAGTGCGAGTTCGGGCACCAGCCAATCAGTGAAGAGCTATAGATTCTGTGTTGGCAACATTTCCCGAGATCAAGGATCTAAAGGTGGAACAAAGAGAATGTTTGGTGAATTTTATCAAGGGGAAAGACGTTATTGTCCTTCTTTCTACGGGATTTGGGAAAAGCTTAATATACCAGTTTGCCCCGTTAACGGTGCATTACATACATCACAACCAAATAGCAGCGATTGGTTAAATTAAAAAAAGTACCCGCCTACCATCAAGCAAACAAATCCTAATGCTGCGAGGTCAGACGGTTTCTACGAAGTGAAACTGGCTGATGAATCAGGCTACAGTATGGGAAATGTGCCAAACTCTTCTACAGTACATATAGTTTCCTGAATCCACGTGGTTCTAACACAATTTACCCTGCTCCTTTCTTAACAAAAATAATAGACGACTCACTTATCCTTCAGCTAGGTACTCCTGACCATGACTCCTGGAGACTTGGAGAGGTTGACCCAAGAACATTTTGTGTCCTTATCTCAAGTAATGGGGTCTGAAATTGTGTTGACCTACTTTGGATTTTGTAAAGCTTGTATACAATAACTGTATCAGTGTACTTATCTGTGTTAGTCATTGGTACAGTAGCAAATCTTGTAAATCTTCCTGTGCACAAAATACTAATGAAACATACAAAAATTAGATAAAGCTTGCACACCAACTCCACAGCTCAATTTAAAGGTGCAGTATGTAACTTTTCTAGTGAGTGTTCTTCTACCTTCTTGTATCCATGGTGATGTTATGTCCTTCCTTGTGCATCAATAACAATATGACATTATATATAGAATGAACGATTCTTTTAGTCATACAGCAGAGTGTGTGTGCCTGCTTTACATATTTCGGTTACTTCCTGTAGCCTTCCTCAGTGCGTCAGTACAGGAAGCAGCCGAAACATGTAAAGCAGGTAAACAAACTCTGCAGTCTGACAAAAGGAATTGCTAATTCGAAGTTTAAAGGGACAGTTCGGAATTTTGGGCATAAGGCCTAATTTCCTAGTGAGCCAGAGTGTTGGAGACATGTGGAGACACTTTTTAAAATAATCCATCCAGTCCTTGTATTTGCAGAGGTCACTGGTGCTAGACTAGTGCATGTCAATGGCCATAGTTATCCTGCCACTAAAAACAGTCTTACCTACTCCACAAAACACCCGAAACAAATCTATTATTACTCCAGACTGTCAATGTAAATGTCTGTGTCGATAGAATAATTTTAGAAGTAAAACCAACCTTACATTTGAAGGATTTAAGTCTGAGCAGCAGCATTGAGTTGTACTTCCTGATAGAAAGCTTGGCAGCGGCGGACTGATATCACCTGCCACCAACTGGCTCTGTAATAGTTTGTTTACCTGCAGTTGCCATAGCGACACATAGAGCACAGGAAGAAGCCTTTTCCAGTTGTGGCCACGTTCACATCATCACAATTAACTAGAAGAGAGTAAAATTCCGCTGCTGCTGAGAAAATAGTCCCTCAACATGCGACGATTCATGCGATACAAGGTTAGTTTTACTTCTAAAATTATTCTATCGACACAGACATTCACATCAACAGTCTGGTGTAATAATAGATTTGTTTCGGGTGTTTTGTGGAGTGGGTAAGACTGTTTTTAGTGGCAGGATATCTATGACCATTGACTTGTGCTAACCTAGCATCAGTAACCTCTCCAAATACAAGGACTGGATGATATATCTCAAAAAGTGTCTCCACAAATCTACAACACTCTGGCTCACTAGGAAATGAGACCCTATGTCCAAAATTCTGAACTGTCCCTTTAATACTGAAGACCAAAGAATATGACATGTATTTATCTTACATTTATTCAATTAGAGTTGTATTATTGCTCACAAATACCGTGAAAAATGTGCATTCTTACTGTGAGTGGGCTCATCTCTCCAGAGATCTGAACTGTAACCTGCCTGTCTTCATGAAGATAGATCATTATTATGCCATACTGTGGTACACATTCTAAGCAAAGCAATAACATCTTTAAAGAGAAAAACAACTGGGGGACCATTTCCACCAGAAACGACACATAGCTCATGTTACACTGTTCTCTGATCTATGTTATAATGTTATTTCCGAATCATTTCCTCAGCATATTTAGGTTCTTCTGTTTTAGACTCCACACACCTTCACTATAATCATTTTGATCATTTCAGCCATGGAATTGCCAATCTCTACTGAATTTAAGGTAAATTGTAGCTGTTACTCGAAAACTACCACTTCAAGACAAGGTGGAACAGAGCATTTGAGATTTGGAGATGCAGATAGACTAATAATGCAGCGTTACTCAAGCATGTGTGAATGAAAAAACAAAACAACTCCAGGCATGTTTCTGATGAGGCAACAACATTATAACATGGCTTAAAGCTCACAAGAGTCAATATTGTGTAGTATAGAACCTTTAATATGATGTTCTGATCACAAATGGATCCTTCTTAGGTCACAGTTTTGCCAGCTCATACTTTCTGCTCTCTGATTGTCGTGAAATCCAACAGTGAATTCGAGGGTGGAGCGGCGTACACAAAACAAGACAATACAAACAGAACAATATAAACAGAGGTAAACAAACCTTGGCCAGATGTGTCTGCAGGCTGTTCTTGGCGTCGGAGGTCTCAGAGATGCGGTTGGTAAAAGACACGTTGACGTTGTTGAACTGGCTCCACATCTCGTTGGAGGTGGTGTTGAGCAGGATCTCGATCTCGTCCCGGAGTTTGTGGGAGGCGGCGCGTTGGCTCTGGGAGAGCAGAATGTTGTCATCTGTGAATTTGGACCAGGTGTCGGGAAGAGAAAGCCTGTCGGGACAGAGGATTACTATTAACAACATATTTCTAGTCTTGTCTGAGAAGGAAGTATATATCTTAGTGGCAATAGATTTGTTCAGACACTTAATAGGTTTGAGTTAGAGTAAGATGTGAATGTTTTTGCCTTAGTTAAGTGCTTTTGATCCGGATATGGTTAAGATAGTCCTCAAACGGAAGCAGCTTCTCTTGGATTTGACTCATACTTCAATGCCACTGGTGTAATTAGGTTATTGTTTATGTTTTAAGGTTGACGGGAACTACATGCGAACTTCATGAAGAAAAGCCTCGCCTGTCCCTGGAATTGAACCAAGGAGCTTCTTGCTTTGAGTCTGAAGTAAGGTAAGTTGATGCCTACTAATACTACATTACTAACCTACAAACAACCACAAACAAATGTGTAATCCTCATATTCCCATTGTCAGTAACATATTTGGATATTTGGATTATTTCTGTTTCATTGACTTGTTTGACTACAAAATCATGGGGATTGTCAGTGCAACTATGCAGTGACCCCAGCTCTTTGGGATAATGGGTGGAAATTTTGGCTTTTTTTTTTTAATCATTATTATTTTTATGTTTATTAAGGACATCACAAGCACATTAGACAAGCCAGATGTATTGCCTTGAGTGTTTTAGCACAAGGGCTATAGTTTTCAACACCTGTCCATATATTTAAAAAATATAAGCTGCATGCATAAAAACAGACAATACAATACACATAAGTGACATACAGATAAAATATATACAGTACATTTTCAGTGGATGCATTTTTGATTGGAAACGTACAATAATTTTAATTTACTTTTAAATGAGTTGTTGGTTTTTTGTTGTTCCAGTTTTAAATCAGCTGGTAAACATTTCCACAGTCTGGCCCCTTTAGAAGAGAAAGAGATTGACCAAGAGTCGTCCTGTACATAGGAACAACACAATTACCACTAGTAGCACCTTGTGTGTTAGCTCTGAGTACATTTTATCATCCTGCCAAATTCTGAATAATAATGAATCTAATAATAATCCAGTGTTTCAAAAGGATAAATTAAATTTGTCAACTGGACAAAAGTTTTAGTCCAAAGGTTTTGACCAAAACTTTTGTCCAGTTGACAAATTGAGTTTCTGCTTTTGCCATGAATTCTACCTGGACTTTACATGTAATGCAGTGTGTTTACATTCATGTTGTGTCCTCTCTGTCCATTAACATGCACTGTCCTAATCAAATAAATAAATAACTAGAAATGAGTAAATAAAATCGTGTGTTATGGCTGATTAGTGTGTATATACAGTAGTGTACTCACGAAGGGTCCAGTCTCTCGATGCCCCTGTAGTAGCCGATCCCATTGGATGTGTTCCTCAGATGGTGACAGCGGTCATCGATTCTCTGGGCGGTCACTTTATCGCTCATGTCTCGCTCCAGTTCATGCTGCCGCTCGATTCGACCTATAGGACACCACAGTGTAATGCAGCATGACAAATACAGGGAGTAAGAGTACTGAAAACGGGTACTCAAGTAAAAGTACAGTTACATGGCTGAAAATTTCCTCAGTTACAAGTATGAGAGCTGCAGTATTTGTACTTAAAAGTATAAACTACACATAAAAAACTACTACCTACTTGGCACTAACCTTCAGTAGCTCATTCCTTCAATGTGTAAATGGGCCATATAAACATTTTACCATTTATCATTTCCTTTAAAATTATATAGACAGAATTATACTCCTGTACGTTTAAAAAATACAAAAAAATCGACTCAGTTACAGTAACGTGAGAATTAGTTATTAGTTACCCACCCCTGCTTGTAATATTAATGAAGCAATAATTAATAATAATTAGTAAAGAAACATGACACACATACTTTTTGTATGGTTAATCTGACTTTGTTGTGATTCACTTTGTTGCCTTGCCTTTTGCGATCATTAACAGTTTAGTTTTTGCGTAGGTTTTAATACTGATGCCCTCCCATAGCATTAGGAAAACACTAGCCTAAAATTGTACCATAAAATAATTAAACACATTAAACACAGTTGCTATACCAATTTAATATTTAGTTCCCTATTATATTTAGAGAGTTTCTTTGTTCAAAACGTGTACAAATACATATTTATCTTTTGTGTAAAACTTTGCTTTAGTATTTTGTCCATACTCACGCCAACTGTGCAACCGCTCTCTCCAAATGCCTCCTCATCCTCTCCTGGCATGATTTGATCACCTCCACTTCCTGTCCACCCAAATGTGAATAATTGATGCGTGTTTGCATACAGCACCAAGATGGTATCTAGTTATAGCGCTCAGACATTACCTTAATGAGGTCTTTCTCCACGTGGTCATGCACTAGATCAATGGACATCCGCTTCTCTCTGTGGTACAAACACTCTTGAGACACCTATTGACAAAGCGATCATGACTCAAACAAGACCAGATGAAGGACAGTAAAGAGTTTCATTGGTTGTCATTCATTATATATCAATAGCATGGTATCAATATCATGGGTCTGATTACCACTCCTTGAGGAACCCCGCTGTTACCCGATCTAGATTTAGCGCCGTGTCCTTGTCCATTAGACCATTAGCTGAAATACGCTGACAGTTTCAATGAACACTGGTGCTGTGAGAGGTGTCTTGGTGACGCGAATGTATGGAGGGAGACTGTTGCTACAGGTGATTTTGTAGTCAAAACATCTTGGCTGGAGAGTGGTAACGTGACACGGGATACGTCTTTGTTCTGCTCTATGTATGGGCAAACATGAGAGAGTAGGTGAACTGACCTTTAGTCTTTTCACGCCCGGTTACTACTTTAATAGAGAGTGAAATGTGTATTAGTTTTGTTAAATGTGTTTATATAGATATTTGTTTATTATCGTCTGTCTACTTATCTTGGACTGGGCTCTGTGGATGTAGACATCACATTATAACTGGGTTCATTTTATTTGCTGTATTATTTACATGTATTAAAGTTGCACTAAGTAATTTTTCTGCTAAGGGTTTGGAATCCGTGTATCATTCGTTCATTCGTGTTTCAAAATAAAACCAAAAATAAGAAAACGAAAACAACAACAATTTTCTTTACTATTTGTCTCCAAAAGGACTGAACCAGGACTGAACCAGGACTGAGACCAGGATTGAGACCAGGATTGAGACCGGGATCAGACCAAGCCTGAGACTGGGACTGGACCAGGACCAGACTGGGACTGAGACCGGGATCTGGTTTAGTCCTGGTTCAGTCTTGGTTCAGTCCTGGTTCAGACCTGGTTCAGTCCTGGTTTAGTCCTATTTTAGTCCTGTTTTAGTCCTGGGATCAGTCCTGGCTCAGTCCTAGTCCTGGTCTCGGTCTGGTCCCAGTTTCAGTTCCGGTCTCAATCCTAATCAGTCTATGTGGGTACACTTCCAGGCCTGCCCTGACACTCCTGGGTTAGTCTTGGTTCAGTCCTGGTTTAGTCCTGGTTCAGTCCTGGTTCTGTCCTGGTTTAGTCCTGGTTCAGTCCTGGTTCTGTCCTGGTTCAGTCCTGGTTCTGTCCTGGTTCAGGCCTGGTTCAGTCCTGGTTCAGTCCTGATCCAGTTCTGGTTCAGTCCTGGTTCAGTCCTGATTCAGTTCTGGTTCAGTAATTATGCAGTGTAAAAGTCCGGCATCACAGTTTAAGTCTTGGAAACGGGAAATGTCCGTTCTCCGTTTTTTCCATTATTCATTTAAACACAAAATCAAAAACTGAAAAAAAAAAAAATAAATCGTTATCCGGTTTTTCATTTTGATTTTGGAGACAAATAATGAAGAAAATAGTTGTTTTTTCATTTTATTTTGAAAAAAAATAATAAAAATTAACGAATGATACAGGGATTATTTTGTGACCTGCTTTTCTCCATGGTGATGTTATGATATTTCCTGAAATGTTCCACAGTGCAATTAACCTTATTGATTCAGTTAAAGGTTCAGCTTCTTTTACTGTAAGCTGATTTGACCTGTAACTTGACCTGATGACGTCACCTCCTTGTCCCTATGGAGATATACGTGTAATGCCATACTGTGGATCATTCAGGCACAGCAGTAACACGAATCACAGAGGATAAAACTACCTGTAAGCTTGTACTTTTCCTATATACTCTACGTGTATTGTTTGTTTACCTGAAGTGGCCCCTCCGTCTCGGCCAGCGCTCTCTCCAGCCGCCTCTTGACCTCGCTGAGAGCCGCTATCTCTGTCACCATGTTATCGATCTCATGGCTCAGCTCAGACTTCCAGAAGACTATATCGTTCACCCTCTCTCCAAGATTTTTACTCGTCGTTTCCTGTGTCCTCCTGGTCAGCTGATCCTTATCCTGCATTAGCCGAATCGTATCTTTCCTCAGCCTCTCTGCACTTTTCCGAGACGACTCCGACTCCCTGTAGTTGCTGTGGTTGGATTTATACCAGTCCTCGGGAGTGTATCTAGTGGACAGGGCAGTTCTGTTGGACGGGTAGAACATTGTTTTGGCCCGGACTAAGTCGAGATTGTCACGCTGGATGGATAGGGGCGACGGGAGGGGGCCGTTGCTTTTGTAGTAGCTGCTGGTCCTCCACTGGTTGGCACTCGCGCTCATGGGTGAAGCAGGCTGGGTGCCACGGTAACTGGCCGCCATGGTGGAGATGGCGGGAAGGAAGTGGCTCGTCTTTGGTCGGGCATAAGTGGCAGTGAGAGTGGATCCCATCAGCTCCATAACGGTCTCCTAAAAGGTTTTTTGGTTTCCTGGTTTTGAAATAAATATTGTAAGAATACATTTGACTGAAATCGTGTTCCAGATGCCAATTATATGCAGCATTTTTGAGGACTCCCATTCAAAAGATATAATATTTTGTTTTTGAAATAAGAAAAAAAATAGTGAAATATGTCAAATTGATTATATTTCTGAATCATTTCAAAATTACAACTTTATTCTCAGCAGTGGAAATCGTCAAAAAATCTAAAGAGCAAATGAGAAAAAATATTGGCAAACACACAAATTCTCATCATTCTGAAACTCGTGGACAGATTTTATAATAGAATATATATTGTTGCGAGAATGCCGCCAAAGCAAACAAAATAGTACTGAAAAAGTGAACGTTTTCTTCTTGGGTCATATTATGTTGTGGTTTTTTATCTTTAAAAAGTTGAAAAGTTAATTTGCACATGGGAATTTGAGCCTTTTGTATATAACTCAGATTAGATTGTCAAAAAACTTTGTTAAACCTACAGGCAGATGTTCCCAAATGTCCCTAGAGACACATTAGCAAAGACAATATAAAAGGTAAACAAAAGACCTGGAAAACAACATGACACTACGTTAGAATAGCTTTAGTAGCATTTTAAAATCTCCACAGGTTTAACATTAGGCTCTCTAAAAAAAAAAAAAGTGTGACAACTCAATCCCATGCTCTATTAGACTTATTCTTGGTTTGCAGTTTGTGTCTGACAGAAAAAAAGCTACTATAGTCATTTCACAATACAACAATGCAATGCAACAGTTACCGATTTTGTGACACAGTCGTGAAAATCCAAATTACAAATACAGACACGTAATCACAATAAACAAAACAAGCTTTAAATGAACTCCAAGAAAACTCACAGATAAAGCGTACAGATCCCGGCGTGCCTGTGTGTGCCTGTGAACAGTGCTTACCTGAAAATGAGCTCAAGACCTCTCTAAAGGTGAGCTGGCATGAATAATGGATGGACAAGTTATCTAAGCATTCAGTGGGTGAGCCAATTGTGGCACAGTGCTAGGCTACAGGAGCCCGGCCCGGCCAAGATTTCTGTTGTTGACACAGAAGCAGTTGCCATTGGTTACAGTTGCTCTCTGGATTAAATTTACAAATGTAATGGAGTCGGGGGGAGTTTATATTTACTGACCTGTACTTCAGAGATAAATGTACTTATCACTGAGATGCAAAACCTGAATAAAAAATCTACACTGTAAAAAAATAAATATTGACTGATATCCTAATCCTATAATCCTAATAGTCCTATTTTATGTTATTGAGATCTACATATTTACTTACCATCAAAATAATAGCTTTAGATTCCCATGAAAATTAGATGGAAAGATAAGTCATATTTTAGTAAAGTTGAAAATTGTATAAATTAACTGCAAGGATTGTAAATATATAAATTTTATACTTTGACACAACTTTTTCAACCAAGTTGCAATTTAATTTAAATTGTATTTTATTTTATTTATTTTATTATTTTTTAATATTTATATTTATTTATTTATTATTTATAATTAATGTTTGTTTTATTTTTTGTTGTTTTTATTTTTTATGTTTTATTTATTTATTTTTATGATTATTTCTGTTATTTAATATTTTAGTTTTTTATGTTATTATTATTATTATTATTATTATTATTATTATTATTATTATTATTATTATTATTATTATTATTATTATGTCAGTTATTTTATATTTTTTTTTTTTTATTATTATATTTTTTATATTTTTTTGTTTTAATTATTTATTTATTTTTATTATTATTATGTATTTTATTTTATATGATTTTGCATAAGATTTCAAAATTGTCAGTACTCTGCAGCTTTAACACAGTACCAGTAGTATCTTTAGTATATTTGTGCATTGACTTCTCACATTCTGTTTTTTTTTTTTTTTGGGCTTCCATAATTAAATATCTTGGTTGATTTTCTATTTGTAGTCGAGCAATCTGAGCTCGGTCTTCGGGGCCATAGATTTGAGTTGGTCCGTGTGTAGCATCAGATAGCCCGGGTCCATTCTGTGCTGCTATCTGCCTGTCTGTATGGATTACAGTGCACTCTTTAAAGATTCATGCCACAGGAAGAGTCCTCACAAACCGCTGTAGGACAGAATAATAATCTGTGTAGTGTTACCTACCTTTGGAGCCTGGATCATTTACACTCCTCTCTCCTGGAGGGGCAGAGCTGGTCAGATGATAGCCCCTGTTCCACTACACAGATGAGAGGGGGATCCACAATCAAATAATGTATAATGGCTTTTATACACGCTAAGATTTGTTGTGATTGAATTCTGGCAGTTTGTTTCCATACACTACAAAAACTAAAATCTACTCAAGCTAACATTACTTGAATTAAGAAAGTTTTATCATGATTTAAGTATATTTCACTTGATAATTAAATGATCTATCAATGGAACAACTCTTTGCACTTAAATAAGGAACAAAATCTTAATGTTGCTTGAATTAAGAAAAACACTTATATAATTGATAGATTGTTTTATATGTCAAGTTGAATCTACTCAAATTAAGTAAAATAGTCTTAATTTAAATCATTTTAATTTACCTAGATATTGCTTTTTGAAGTGTACTCTTTTTTTGTTAATTTTTGCTTTCCTCATCACAAACAGACCTAGAGTTGTGTTTTGTTTCATTCACCCATGTTTAACTCACAAACCCTGCAGATTCAACTTGAGTTCTTCCTTCAAACAGAAAACACTCTCCCTGTGTTCGATTATCCTTCTGAATCGGTTTTCTGAGGAAGTTGCCTAGCGACACTCGTTCCTGGGATGGTGCAACTCGGACCTCGGTGTCTTAAAAACCAGACCGAGCAAGGATTCCGAGTCAGAATCCAAGATGGTTGCGATGGTTGTGACGAGTAAATATGAAGTGTTTTCATTGTGTTTGGACTCTACAATACCTTACCGTGTCTGTATCACTGCCTATGGGTTTGATAGTCGGTGTTGTGGTGACGCCAATATTGAACAAATACTTGATTTAACAGGCATTAAAGCCCCTGAGGTTGTAACGGGAGAGAAATCATAACATAAAATGAAGTGCAAAGTAGTAAGTAGCAAAAACTAATTGTAATCATAATCCACGTAGTCTAACTTCCGAAACAAATCCAAGTAAGTGGTAATACAGGAAGTGCAGCACTGTGTTTTAAACTCCATACACCTTCACTCGATTCATTTGGATAATTTCAATTCTGGAACTGCAACTCTCCACTGAACTAGAAGTAAAAGGAAGCTGTAAATGTGAACCCAAGGTGGATTCACATCACATTTTAAGCTTTGGAGATATGGCTGACTTACAAAAACACAGCTCCATGTTTGCTTTGGATGACTTAATGGCATAATAACATGGTTTGAAGCTTACAAGAGTCAATTTTGCATACTATAGGACCTTTAAAGCATCAGTAATACAACCCTGTGCCTCGTCATTGTCTAGTTTGTATCAGTTAAGGTCACAGACAGCTCCTTCTTAGTATAACAGCTCATTACACAAGCTAAATGTTCATTAGGTCAAAAAGATCCATGTCTACTGAGAATAAAAGACTTTCATGGAAACTTGGTATTGACAGAGATGTGATAGCAGAAGTTATCTTAAATTTCTTGGCCTGAAATGCAGCCTCGTTGTCTTTGCTTTATTGACCTGGCCGACCTTGGAGATGCTGTATCATTCAGCCTATTATCTAAATTCAGTTTTTCATTCATTCATTGTATTTGTCTGAACAAGGTACAGCAACAACAACAACAATATCAAAGGACAAGGATATGTACGTGGACATATTTGGGATCTAGTGCTCAAAAGGAGAAGGATGAAGGGTTAAAACTTAAAATCAAGTCAGCTAGGTTTGTCTTCATTTTAAAGTGTGTATGTTTTTATGATCAAAACTCAAATTTGGTGGGATAAAACCTGTTATAAATATAAATGATGGTTTTACATTGACCAAGAAGCAGTTTGTAGGGATGTAACAATAACTGAAATATCGTGATATCATATCGTTAAAGTTCTCACAATAATATCATGGACCATCACAATATATCGAATTACAAGTTTCTTTGCTTAAATTAAGAGTTATGGTGCAGCAGTAGCTATAAAAAGACAGAGAGAACTACATAGACCATAATCCTTTGCTCCATTTCAGTGCAGACTACAAGAAGAAATAACAGTTCTAAGCACTATTAAGCCTTTAGTTCTTTGGATTAAGTCTTGTCAAGGCATTTTAAGAGGAAAAAGTAGCATATTCACAGTTTTAGTTGTTTCGCCTCCACGAAATATCACAATAAATATCGTACCGTGAGATGTATATTGTGAAAATATTGTACCAAAAGCTTTGGATATTGTTACTTCCCTAATTGTGAGTCTCTACCGTGACGATATCGTATCATATGGTTACAGTTTGTGAAAATTACAGAAAAAAGAGTACCATATTTTCCAGGCTATTAGACGGACACTTAAGCCTCTATCCCATCAAAAAACGACCGTGCGCCCCACAATCCAGAGCGCCCTATACACGAATCCACTCGGGTGTCCCAGCACGACTTCAGTAAACTACAAAGCCGCACCACCCGCAGCGCACGCAAACACACACGGAGCAGACAGCGACCGCACAGCGAAAAACACCCACAGACACACTCATCACTCCACGCCGACGAGGAACGGAATGGAGGAACGAACCGAAAAAGCGAGTGCAATGTGCCACTTCTAGACACAACTGAACAACTGAGTCACTGCGAACACGCCGACAATCCAGCGGTCCCAGACAGCACCCTCCCTACACGCCACAACTGAACAAAGCCCAGAGTCACCGTGAACGCCACAAACAAAGTCCCACTGACCCATCCAACTGTTGTGTTTCCTTTAAAGTCCAGTGCGGTTTATTTGTGAAAAAAGTTCGATAATAGACCATTTAATGACAGTGCATCTTATAATCCAGAGCTCCTAATAGTGCGGAAAATACGGTATTCTATT